CCAGACCCTGATCCCCGGAGAAACCCCCAACACCCCCACCACAATCACCCCCACCACCTCCACCCTCACCACAACCACCCCCACCATAACCACCCCCACCACAATCACCACCACCATCAGCGTCCAGAAACCGGTAAATGACCACAAATAACATAAAACAAATACAACGCTCTAAATTAGACAAACAAACAAAAGCACAAACCCACATAATCAAACAAGGACATTAACGCAGACAAAGTTGCTAAACCAATGTTTCTCTCTAACGCGAAGCTGCTATTATGGCTAATTAGAAGATAATCAGTGAACACGAATTATGTGATTAAGTCAAAAAGGAAGGTATAGGGATCTACCACTGTCAACCACACACTAACCCACCACCACACACACTAACCCACCACCACACACACTAACCCACCACCACACACACTAACCCATCACCACACAAACTAACCCACCACCACACACACTCACCCACCACCACACACACTAACCCATCACCACAAACACTAACCCATCACCACACACTAACCCATCACCACACACACTAACCCATCACCACACACACTAGCCCACCACCACACACACTAACCCACCACCACACACACTAACCCACCACCACACACACTAACCCACCACCACACACACTAACCCATCACCACACACACTAGCCCACCACCACGCACACTAACTCACCACCACACACACTAACCACCACCACCACACTAACCATACCACACACACTAACCCACCACCACACACACTAACCCACCATACACACACTAGCCCACCACCACACACATTAACCCACCACCACACACAGTAACCACCTCCACACACACTAACCACCACCAAACACACTAAACCACCACCACCACACACACTAACCCACAACCACACACACTAACCCACATCACACACACTACCCACACCACCACACACACTAGCCCACCACCACACACACTAACCACCACCACGCACATAGCCCACCACACACACATAACCCACCATCACACACACTAACCCACCACCACACACACTAGCCACCACCACACACACTAACCCACCACTACGCACACTAACCCACCACCACACACACTACCCACCACCACACACACTAACCCACCACCCAAACACACAACCACACCACCACACACACTAACCCACCACCACACACACTAACCCACCACCAAACACCAATAACGCACCACAACACACACTAACCACCACCACGCACACTAACCCACCACCACACACACACTAACCCACCACACGCACACTAACCCACCACCACACACACTAACCACCACCACACACACTAACCCACCACCAAACACACTAACCCACACCACACACACTAACCTACCACAACACACACTAACCACCACCACGCACACTAACCCCACCACCCACCACACTAACCCACCACCACACAATAACCCACCACAACACACATTTAAACCCACCACCACACACACTAACCCACCACCACACACACTAACCCACCACCACGCACACTAACTCACCACCATACACACACATAACTCACCATCACACACACTAACCCACCACCACACACACTAACCCACCACCACACACACTAACCCACCACCACGCACACTAACCCACCACCACACACAGTAACCTACCACCACACACACTAACCCACCATACACACAGTAACTACCACCACACACACTAACCCACCACCACACACACTAACCCACCACCACACACACTAACCACCACCACACACACTAACCCACCACACACACACTAACCCACTACACACATACTAACCCCCACCACACACGCTAACCCACCATCACCACACTAACCCACCACCACACACACTAACCGACCACCACACACACTAACCCACCACCACACACACAAGCCCAACACCATACACACTAACCCACCACTACACACACTAACCCACAATCACACACTTTAACCCTCCACCACTCACACTAACCCACCACACACACACTAACCCACCGCCACACACACTAACCCACCACCACACACACTAACCCACCATCACACACACTAACCCACAACAACACACACTAACCCACCACCTCACACACTAACCCACCACCACACACACTAACCCACCACCACACACACTAACCATCACCACACACACTAACCCACCATCACACACTCTAAGCCACTACCACACACACTAACCCACCACCACACACACTAACCCACCACCACACACACTAACCACCACCACACAGACTAACCCACCATTCACACACACTAACCACCACCACACACACTAACCCCCCACCATACACACTAACCCACCACCACGCACACTAACCCACCACCACACACACTAACCCACACCACACACACTAACCCACCATCACCACACTAACCCACCACCACACACACCCACCCACCACCACACACACTAACCCACCACCACACACACTAACCCACCACCACACACACTAACCCACCACCACACGCACTAACCCACCACCAC